ACATCTATAGTCTCACATGGGAGAGAATATGCCGCCAGACAGCCAAACGAGCCGCTCTTGCCCAACAGGTTCTGCTGTGGGTCTTGCACGCAAAGAGAGATATGTCGATGGAAGAGCTCAGACATGCACTTGCAACCTCACCGGAGTTGAATGTCTTTCAACGAACGAGATTGGTTTCACCGGCCACCATCATCTCGGCATGCTATGGTCTGGTTGTTGTCGATTCAGAGAGGAAGGTTGTTCGCCTTGTTCGTAAGTTGCCATGTGCCACATAGACATATCTTCGTCTGAACTGATTCGAACCCTCAAAGATTACACAGCCAGAGACACACTCATGCAGCGGGTGGTGCGAATCCACACAGACGCACATGGGCTGCTTACGTCTGTCTGCCTCACGCACTTAGTCACCTGCGGGCTTCAGACCTCCCCATCGAGGAGAAATCGCGATTTTGACACCTTCCTCAGGAACGACCCCCTTCTTCACTACGCATACCGCTCATGGTACTACCATGCCCAACTGTCACTTCAACGAAGTCCGACACCGCTTCAAGATATCATACAGTTCATCCATGGCTGCAAAACATACCCCCTCAAGTGGCACCGTCATATGACCTACGTGGGCCCATTCCACGTTGCAGCGTACTACGGATTCCCTGAATACTTTGCATTACATAAAGCCTCCAAGGGCGTCGGGGCGGCAACAACATGGAACAGTGTCACCCCGCTGGTCCTGGCAGCGTTTCAAGGACACGAGGAGTGTGTCAAAGAAATTTTGTGCAGCCCTCATGCAAATGTCAACGCCCAAGATTTTCTGAGACTGTGCGCGATCTCAGCTGCGGCAAAGAACAACCACACAGCCGTCGTGGATTTGCTTCTCCGTTATCCAGGTATCAACGTCAACCTGTCGGACATCCTGGGCTACACACCTCTGCTGCTGAGCTCTGCCTTTGTCAACGAAGACATTGTCAGGAAGCTCCTCCAGGTACCCAACGTCCAAGTCAATGCCATCCTGCAAGCTCCAAGTGGATGGTCGTCGTTGATGTTGGCCTGCAGGAATCGGTATCAGGGCATTGTCAATCTCCTCCTTGCGCATCCCGATATCGACCCCAACCTAGCCGAGCCGGACAGTGGATCCGCTCTGATAATCGCGTGCGCGAATGGCCATGAAGCCATCGTCAAACTTCTGCTCGCCCACCCCCGTGTCGACGTGAACCTAGCCACTGAGGACCGCTTTGCCACATTAGCCACGAAATATGGCAGAGGTAGGATCCAGTACCGCGAAAATACCTACATGGATAGGCGGGAGCTTGAGGCTGCGATGCTAGCTGAGCACCCAGGGCAACTTACACCTATTCCCGATGGCAATTGGACCGCTCTGATGCATGCATCGAAGAATGGCAACGAGGCGATTGTCCGGTGCTTGTTGGCCATTCCTAGGATTCAGGTGAACACAGCTTCCGGGGCAGGACAGACGGCACTCTCGTTGGCGTTGAAGGAGAATCATGCTGGTGTCGTCAAATTGCTTTTGGACCACCCTGGGATTGACAGGTCTTTCGTTACGTTGGACGGTATTACGCCTCAAGTTCGAGGTGAAATTGAACCTAGGCCATGAGATGCTGATTGCGCTTCGCCCAGGAATCCTGTATTTTATCGTACACTTACTATACTTATACATTTGTGTTCTTCTGAGGTCTCTGAATGAACCCTGCCAACTCTTTCTGTAATTCCTTCTGCCGCCTCGTCTTTTCCAGATCTTCCACGCTCCGCAGGTCATGAACCACATCCCTCGTCTTGCCAAAGTAAACCTAGAAACAGGTTGCATGATCAAAGTTGTTATCATGACCACAGACACGCCCCCTCGTACCTCTTGCAAAAGACTTCTCATCTTGATCTCCATTTCTTCGATCATCTTGCCGGTGTTGGTAATATGTGAAGTACCATCTTGGAGCGGCCAGTCTTGTTCCGTCTGTCGTGTCATACTGCCGCTCAGAGTGACCTCGCCATCTGTCTTCAAGCCTTCCGGCCCCTTCTTCAGATCCTCTTTCGATGCAGCTGATCCCGAATCGTTCCCTGAACGAGTCACCAACTGGAGCATAACGGTGGATGTGAGTTTGTAGTGGGCTTGTCGACCTCGTTCAACGGTCTCAAAGACGTGTATTGAGTCCCATGAGCCAGAAGCTTCGCCTGCGCTTGCTGGTGTCATCGCTAATCCGCAGTGCCGAACGTGAATCTTTGGTGCAATGTCAGAGGAGAACTCGATGGAGACGTACTCTTCTTCAACAAGACGACGCCTGCAAACCCTCCGTCTTCGAGATCCCATAGGTATACCGATGACACTCCTCCCTCAAAGTAGAGCTCCCGGTAGGTATCAAAGACTTCGTTTGCTGCGATCTCGAGTTTGCGCAGCTTGACAGAGGGCGTAGTTCCATCGTCAATAGGAGGATCATATTCGTTTGACCATGGTGACCTAGGAGATTCAAGAATCGTCAGCACAACGTGCCACTTTAGCTAGCGTGCAGCTCCCGGGATGAACATTCAAGCCCTCTGCAGGAGTGTACAATTGGGATAGGCACCCACCTGTAGCTTTCTCCATCCCGATTGTAGTCACAAACAAGGTAATCCTTGCCCGTTGCTCGATCTGTTCGAACCTGCAGAGGCTGATCAACGCTGCCCAGCAGGTCGTCAGCGTAATCAGGGCAGAGCTCGACGAGCGTGTTGACGTTCTCCTCTGTTCTCGTTGGAGGTAGACGACGCATCAGGTCGAGCATAGAGTCTACAAGGTCGCCCATTGTTACGAGGTGGCCCGTTTCTGACTTTGTTGAACGATAAAGGGTGCCAGATGCAGGATGGTGGTGGTTTAGGATCAAGCTTCGGAATCTGTTGCGAGGTGGGATCGCGGGTCCTGATGGTCATTTCGCGTAACGCGCAGCTGTTGCAGGGGTATCAAAGGGTTCGTATTGCGAATGAAGGTAGCTATAAGTACATGCAAGGTATTTGGGAAGTATTATATACATCGAAAGCTTTACAACTAGGAATACAACAGCCCCATTGGCGGGGAGGACGAGAGGCCACACAGTGTGCCTATTGCTGAAGTGACAAAGATGGAGTAGGCCGTTGTTTCTTCATGAGTAACGACCGTCTCCTTGAGGTATCTTTCGCTCTCGGCTCCTTATGAGCCTCTTCGTTTGAGCTGCTTCCGTGGTCCGTACTTTCCGTTCGATCAGACCAGCGTGACCGTATGCTAAACCGCAAGCTCCTTCGCCGGGAATAGACTTCGTAGGGAGGTGGTTGGACAGGTCGATGGGGTGAAATCGGGCTGTGGGCGGGTACAGATAAATAATGTTCCATTTCGCGCAAGAATTCTGTAGACAGAGAAGATTGAATGTGAGCGACGGGTTGAAGCAACACACGGGGATGGTGGAAGATGTCCGCAAGGTGCGAATGTCAACCAAGAAGCGTTCGATGCTGAAACACGGGCACATGAAGCTCGATGCTTACCTAGAGGGCGATATTTGAACACAAATGTAGCGATATCACGAAGTCGATGGCACTTTTGCCTGTAAGTGGAGGGAGTAATCTCCCTTGTTTCGCCCAGTCTGTCATGATCCGCGATGTAAGAAACAGAATCCCGCATATAAAGGTTGAAGGCTAGCTTACTGGATGATATGGTCGCTTCTGCTTGGCGATACAGGAGACAGGCTCGGGGGTGGTGAAGCAAGTTCCTCTGTGCGAGACTTCGTACACTCCCTTGAAAGTTCTGAAACTACCATAGTGATAGTTCCTGTTTCAGTGTCGCTCGAAGTATGAGAATCGTCTGAAGATGATGCGCTACATTCTGTGAGGTTTTCTCATCAGTAAACACGCTTCAGAAGGTTGGGTTGGAGGAAGATACTCACGATCAGAGAAACCCTCGGTTCCCGGTCTTGCAAACACGAATGCCCTTTCAGTCCTTACACTCGTTTGAACACCACTCTGGCGTTGCATGTCTACCCTTTCTCCTGCCCCGGGCCTGCGGGTAAAGGGATGTAGGCGGGTACCCTTCACATTCACGCCATCGACAATGAGACGTGTTCCAGTATCTGTTGACCGGTTGAGGTTTTGCCAACAGATGGCGAATGCCTGCGAGAGTGACGATGAGCACATGTTCAAGAGCACATCACAACAAAGGGCTCTGCAGCAAAACTTGAACCCGCCGAACGTACCTTTCCTTCTTCTGAAGGCACGTAGCACTCTACTCTCCCTCTCTTTTCGTGAACCTTGGCGAAGTACGACGGAAGCTCTCGTCCGTCGACTTCAATCCATGCTCGAATGTCGTCAAGTCGTAATGGCATCTGGCAGTTTCTGCCTTGAGCCTGTCGTAGGGGGTGGCAGAACAACCGAGGTAGCAAGGGATGCCCGAGCTATAAGGCGCTTGGGTATGGGGTGGTTGGACCGTAAAATGGTCGGAAGTACCAAGTTGAGCAATGAACGTTCCTGTGATAAGACAACCACTCCAGCAACGACAGAGGCCATCATGTCATCATGGAGTGCCGGTGGGGAATCATCGATCCACAGTTCCACAGCATTGCAGGGACTGCTTTGCGGAGAGCCCGTGGCAGGTGGATGACCCGTGAACAGGTGTTCAAAGCGCAGAATTTAATTCTCCAACCTCGAGGCATCGGTAAACAAGGTTTGGTGTTGGCGCTTCGTGATGGGTTCAATGAAACCCTTAAGCGCCCGAGGGTGATGGAGGCAAGATGGAAGACCCGAACAAAATAGGGGCTTAAACGTCACCTGGGTTTGCTTCCACAGGCTTGGCATGGAAATTCGTCAGTTTCATCGGTTCCGTTCAGAGCGCTCAAGAGTTGTGTATTGGATTCTCGTCAAGGGCACCACGATATCCTACATCGAAGTGAATTGGGGGCTCTTTGGCTGCCTGAACATAAAGGCAGATGTCTCCTGTTGGAGTCGAACGCGTGATATAGCAAAAATAGACTCGAATTCCATACAACCAAAAAAGATTCCCCCTAGCCGATTTGAACGACTGACCTCATCATTACGAGTGACGCGCTCTACCACTGAGCTAAGAGGGACTTGTAGCTGATTGGACCTTAATAATTATACTAGTAGAGAAGACATTTGGTTCTAGAACTTCAAAAACATTGACTGCGACCATAGTCCTTTTGTATCTTACTGTAAAACACAACGCGATTCTATGACCGTGCCCTTCCTACGGCTGACTTTTTCCCTAGGCCTTTCTGCTCTCGATTGGATGCATAATTCACCCAAGGCTTCGTGGGTTTCGGAGCCCTCGCCCTGTCCCCGAACCGGCTGCCTTAGGTTTGGTCGTGGCATTGCAACTTAGAAAAGGATCATGAAGCTCCTGCTCTTGGCCAAGGGGCGTCGCTGCGTGCAAAATGGACTGAACGGGACAAATTTTCGTCCCTTCCTTCCCTAGAATCGTGTGTCCATGAAATTTCAGTGATAATGCGGCATGTGACCTTCTGCGCTAGCAAGTCCCTGGGCAAAAGGAAGCACGCCAGTTACCCGTCAGCTATCGCAGAGTAGGTTCAGGCTGACTTACGCTAGCTACATTGCACACCCGGGGACTGAGATTTTGAGCATGGTTTGCTGCTCTTGTATCCACCAACGCCACAGCAGCAGACAAGATCCCCAAATTAGTGTGAGAGAACTTGTTCAAGAGTCGGAACGGGCGCTTATTGTTATCATTGTCGGCTCGTGGGGAAACCGGTCAGAGACTCAAAGTCGTTCCAGGTCACAGTTGCTTATCATCCAGTATGCGGTCCAAAAGGATTATACAAGACGCCTTCAGGCCCATCCGCCACAAGTTTCAATCATGTCAGGACGAAATATTAAATGGTTGCTAGTTATACTGTTACTTTTTATTCCGTGGCTTTCCCTTAGCACCTATCGGTTTTGACTTCGGAGCAGCAGAGGCAGCGTTTTGCTTCTCCGGATTTGCCTTTGCCAACTCTATCGCCTCCTCCTTTTGCTTCAGCCGGCTGGAAACGCGTCGTCCAGTGGTATCAGATGGCGCCGTCCTCGCCTTCTTCTTCGCCCTGGTACCATCCCCTTTCCGTAGAGACACCGCATCCGAGGACTCAGCTTCCGTCACAAGAATAATAGGTACTTCCAGCGTCGAATACGAGGCGACCTGGGGCTGGGAACCATCGCCAGATTTTGTCTTGCACGCCGCCAATCGCAACTTCTTTCTGAGACGAAAGGGTACGCAGGGCTCGCATGCGTAGAGTTCTCCGCGTCGTTGCATCTCTTCACTGTCGTACTCCCTTCCATCTGTTGAAGCGCGTTTTCGTTTGGAGCCAGTGGTAGATAAAACGGAAGGTGGCAGGGAGACGAGATTTTCGACAATATCAAAAGGCTTTCGTTTGAGCCGAATGGGAAGATTGTAGGACATCGGTGTCCCAGAGGTGCCTGCACCTGAGTGAGCATCAGGTGTAGTGTCAACGGCACGCGGTGAACATAGTCGAAGATGAGGAGTGGCCGAGGGTGTCAGGGCCTGATATGGCTTCTGTTGGAAGATACATGAGCCTAGGTGTAACGAAGGAGTCCGACAGTCAGCAGCTTACCTGGGAGTTACCTGTGTATTCAGTAACGGGATAGAGATAAGGGCCACCGAACCGCCCCAATTGCCCACATTGAGTGGCACTGGGATCAGGCAGAGTAGCAGGGGTGGTAGTATCAACCAAGATAGTGCAGGTCGAAGACATGTCTTTAGCTATCCGAGGTGTGAATGCTGATATTGTTGTTGTAAATGTTAATGCTGTTGAAGAGGAGAGAAGGGGGAACGAGTCGAGGGCTTTATATCCCTTTCCTGATGATGCCACAAGGATCAGATCAATGCCACCGCACCCTTTGTCTTTGTCCTCGTCTTTATCTAGTAGTCAAGAGGTGGCGTTCCAAGATGTCAAAGAGTTCTTTGAATGTTTAAAAGGAGTATTCACTGAAATAAACAAAATCATATACCCTTCAGACCTTAGAGTCACCAAGGAGTGTGATATACCCCGAGTCGGGGAGGTTGCCTTGTCATAATCACACCAAAGAACCGATTGTCTGAATACTGCTACTACTCGAACGACATCTGATTCAGACTGTGAAATGAAGTGATCTAAATACAGTCAATTGAACATGTCCCTTTCATCTACCGTCCCAAATAAGCACGATGATGAACCTCAGGTCGCGCGCTGATCGTCACTCATCGCGTGCACCACCCTCTAGCCCCTATCTTTCTATTCGCTCTCAGGCCACCATAAAGGCGAATGAGGCCACTGTCTTGGATATGAATTCAAGGCTTCAAGCGAGATCGTGGAGTGTCCTGCTACTCCCACTCCTGCTCAATGGGGCACTGTGTGCGAAATGAATGGGACGCGATGGTGCCTCCTCGTTGCCTTGCACACCCGAACTTGACGTCCACGAGACTCCTGTGATGACTCGGTAGGTGATGACTTGCGCTGTAAGCCCCTGGAAGAAGGAAGAAAACCCATTGAGTCTCGGGTTTATGCTCTCGAAAGCTTAGGAAGCGTCCACTCACACTGGCCGTATACCACAATCGCCCTGTGAAAATTCGAGCGTGCCTTGCCCCGTTGGTGTCCACAAGCGCAAAGACGGCAGACAAGATCCCCAACACCGTAAAGGGAAGCGCGGATTCCATCAAGATCATCGTCACCCTGCTGTATGGCGATCCTCCCATCCTTTCCGTGGTAGGAGAGGCACTGATTTTCTCGACGAGGCGCTTCATGCGGAGCAGTCGCACGCATATCAATGCGGTGGCTAGCATATTGACGCTGGTCGCGACCAGGTAATATACACCGAGTTGGAGTAGGCCAACGTTAGAGGTCTTGCAAAGCCCGCGAATGGGAGGGGAAGCGGTAGGTTCTTCATCGCAGACTACGTTGCGCAGAATTGTCAGGATCCCAAACACTGTTTTCTTTTATAAGCATGAAGGAAAGACGCTTCTATGAGCCAGAGCACGCACCAATAGACGCAACATACGGTACCACAGGTGATAATCCAATACACCGTCGCCCCGTCCAAATCACATAACATCGCCAGACCTGCTCACTTTGGGTCCTATTCTCTGCTCAGTGATCGAGTCAACTCACTAGAAGACCGTCCGCTGTTAAATGAGTGCATCCAATGAAGGTATCCTTCGCAGCCTCCAGCCACATCGGCACTCTGACGGAAGCTCCTGTGCCCTGGGAATCGGTGGACACAAAGACGGAAGCGAGGTCGAACGAGAAGGTGCCCAATGAGAAGACTAATACGAGAAACATGACGAGAACATAGTTTCGGTGTTTCTGTCGGAGGGATAACGTAGAGTGTCGATATTTTACAAAGCCGTGGATGCAGAGATAAAGATGAAGGCCTGTGGTTGGTTAGAAACGCATTCAGCCCGTCATATCCGCCTCCGAACTCACTAATGAGGGATGTATACATCAAGAGCGCACCAAAGACCAAGGGAAGGTCACGGGCACTGGGGGAGATCATTGCCGGGCATGGAGCTCGAATGCTCAATGAGCTGGAAACACCCTCGTCTTTTATATGTCGCTGACTCGCTGTGATGGAGTGCTCTATGCCAGCATCAGACCTTGCGATCATCAGCCTCCACTTTAGAAACGCGGGAGAAGACTGTCCGCTTCTGGGAGGACGCATCATATCGTTAAAGAGCAGTGCATTTGATAAAGAGGCTTGCTCTCAGCCACCGTAAGGAAGACATCGAGCTGGGTGTTTTCCTCGTTATACGAGGCAATATCCCCATCAGCCTCGCTCTCGTGCTTCGTGAGACGAGAGTTTGCGTTGCCACATTAAGCACACCACAAACCACAGAAGGAAACAAGGCCAAGGCCTTTATTTGAGCCCAAGTGTCGGGCATTCTCGCGGAACGTCATGCTACTCCTGCTCCTGCTCACTGGTACACTGTGCGCGAACTGAACGGAATGCGACATTAACCCTTCGTCGGCTTGAGCAGGCGAATTCGACGTGAATGAGATCCCAGTAATGACGCAGTACGTGATGACTTGCGCCGTGAGAGGATGGATTGAGTTCAGGGTGTGCAATCTCAAAGAATGAAAACGACCTCTCACTGTCGCCACAGTCCATCTCCGACCTGCAAATAGTCGAGCATGGTTCGCCCCACTCGTATCCACAAACGCAACGACAGACGTCAAGATTCCCACAACGGTGAAGGGCAGCGCAGATTCAAGCAAGATCGCCGTTACTCGACTGTATGGCGATTCAACCAGCCTTTCTGTTGGAGGAGAAGCACTGATTTTGTCCACAAGGTGTTTCATACGAAACAGTCGGACGCAGATGAGGGTGGTCGCGACTAGATTGACACAGGTTGCGATGAAGTAGTAGAGTCCAAGACGCAAAAGGCCGACGCCCGAGGTGTTGCATAGTCCATTCGTAGTTGAAGCATTGGTGGGCTCGTCGTCACAGAGTACGGCACGAAGGATGGTCAATATACCAACCACTGAGTGCTTAGTATCAGCGAGAGCGACAGGAATCTAGCTGTGAATCAAGGCACGTACCAAAGGGTGCAGTGTACGGAAGGATGGGCGCCAACCCAATCCATGGTTGCCCCGTCCAAACCACAAAGCATCGCCAGACCTACCCATCAGTTGGATTGGGCCCTTCGATAGATCAAGGTAATACCACGCACCAGCAAACCGTCTGCGGTCAAATGGGTGCATCTGATGAACGTATAGGGCAAGACCTCTAGCCACGCTGGGGCTGTGGCAGAAGCCATCGTATTCTGGAAGTTGGCAGAGACAAAAACAGAAGCAGCATCGAAGGTGAAGGCGCCCGTTGAGAAGAACAGCACAATGAGCATGAGTAAGACATAATTCTGATGCTTCTTCCGAAGGGCAAGAGTAGATTAACGATATTTTACAAAGCCATGGATGCAAAGGTATAGGTGGAGGCCTATAATTCGTTAGTTATGCATTCATACTGTCATTTCTTTGCTCAGACTCACTAATAAGAGACGTATACAGTAAGACTGCACCAAAGACAAGGGGAAGGTAGCGGGGATCGTCACTTGGTTCGTTACGGG